TTATTATTATCATTATTATTATTATTATTATTATTATTATTATTATTATTATTATTATTATTATTATTATTATTATTATACATCCTTAACTTGTTTTTCCCGATTAAATTACGGTTGGATTTTGTTCTGAAGATGTTAAATTGTAGACAAGCAGCTAATAATAATAATAATAATAATAATAATAATAATAATAATAATAATAATAATAATAATAGCAAGTAGTATTATGTTATTACTTATTAATAATAACCATTATTATTATTATTATTATTATTATTATTATTATTATTATTATTATTATTATTATTATTATTATTATCATTATTATTATTATTATTATTATTATTATTATTATTATTATTATTATTATTATTATTATTATTATTATAAAACAACATGTACAACATGTTATAGTTTTATATGCTTTAACCAGGTAATGTCATAAATGCCGTTTTGTCCTGTTATCCGCTCATATCTGTGTTATGCTGGATTGTTCTGCATGAGGTTAGTTGTTGTTCAGGCGTCTTATCGCTCTGTTTGGCCTGTTTGGCCCTTAAAGTGAACAAGTTCACAATTATAAAAGTAGAACTTTTACTTTCCAGCGATGGAGCCAACTTTCAATTTCACAAACCGGGCTCTGTTCTAGGTTTATAGTTCTGAGTCGGTTTGTAGAGGTTGAAGAAAATCCCTTTAACAAAATCCATAATTAAAAAATATTATCAGTCTTTAGAATGAAGTGCTTGAAAAGTTAACCCAGGACGCTGGTGAAAGCGGGGACCTTATTCGACGGCCATACTGCGGAGCTTTGGGCCCTCCGCTGCAGGGGTCCTCCCCCTCCACCTTTTCCTCTCCTCCCCACCTTGGCCTACCTCGGAGCGGCGGCTTGGGTCACGTGTTTCTTTTTTTTTCTCCCCCGTACAAATGTTCCAATAGGAGAGCGCGGAGGCGCACACACATATCAAAAATTATCAGCGGCAGCAGCTATCTGCAGATACACCGAGAGGAAGAGACGCGCTGCAGCGATCAGCGGATCCAAACAAGAACAAAAAAAAAAAAAAAAAAACCCCGCGAACAATCACCCAACAGGAGCAACTTCGGTTCCATCTTCTCCAACTTTTCTTTCTTTCTTTTTCTTTTTTTAACGCACAAACGCATAGAGCTGCGGAGAGGCTCCGTGTCTGTGTGGTGTGGTCAAGGCTTGCCCAGCTGAGCTCCTCTCTTAAGGCTGGGTCTCTGCTGAGGGGGGACCGGACCCGCTTTATCACCGGACCGACCTTATCTGGTGAGATAAAACTCCGAGAGGCCTAGGAACGGAGAGAAGCAGGAACCATTATCAACTTTTTTTTTTTTAATGCGATTTGAGTTTCTATTTATAGAAGAAAAAAATATATATCTGCAAAGGGGAGCGATAAATGTGGACCGATCTGCGATTCGGTTTCCGCTCGGGTCGGGATGTAATGAGGCCGGAGGATCTGGGCTCTATCTGCGCCTCTACAGATAGCAGCGACACTTAATGTCGTTTTGATCCGTTTCACGTCAAGCAAGGGCGATGAGAGTAAAATATGACTGATGCATATCGATGATTGTTGATCATTAATATTTCAATGCATCCTTTTTTTTTGAGCGCACCGAATAATCAAAAAAAAAAAAATCGAAGGCATGTGAGAAGTAATATCAGTATTTGGCCTGTTATTTATAGGCTATGTAATATCAAAATTTAACTTATTAATACATTATATTTTCAGTTGTAAAATTATGGAAAGAGTACAAAGAATATTTCTATATTTGAAATTTTAAACAAAACAAGAGAAATGTATACTTGCTTATGGACAATTTTCCATTTTTCCATTTTTAAGCAAAATTGTGCATGCACTATAAAAAGGAATTCTGAACACCCGTGAATGTTAGCCATTAAAATGTGATGTTCAATAATTATATTCATACAGCTTTAACATCTATCATTATATTTAATCCTTAACATTTCGGTCAGAATTGAACAGACCGAAATGTAATTTATTTTTATGGAGCGTTCAGCAGGACTCTGTCATTGGACCGGTGGTAGAGACATTTTCTGTTTTGTGGTGTTTATTCAAGTTTAATATCTTTAACTGAACCCGAGGCAGCAGAAGCAGCACATCTTGGAAGGGAAAAAGTTTTTATGTCACTTTCTTCAATATTTTACGACTTAATCACAAACCAATGTATTATTTTCAGTTTCTTTTTTAGCATGTTGGAAAACCATGTTACGGTCTTAATCGGTAGAATTTAATTTAATTGAGTAAGTGTAGCATTTTCAATTCGATTGTAATTCGATTGATTTATGTGCCTTTTAAAAGCCTTCTTAAATTTTACCCACATTACAGTACTGGTGACCAGTTTTGCGATAAAGTCAAACAGTTTTTCTTTTTTTCTTTCTTTTTTTTCTCTTTTTTTAGCATTGAATCAAAAAAAATCTTTCTTGAGCTTTTGGTGTCTCTGATGATCTGTTTTAGTAGAAGCCCTGTTTTAAATATGAATATGGTCGGTATTGGGTGCTTGTTAAGAATTAAAAATGTTTTTTTCTGGATGTTTTCTTTTGCCAGAGTGGGTTGGGAGAATCTGTGCAAGTTTGTTGAAGACAAAGTTTGTTCAAAAGGAAAGGAACGTTCTCCGGTTAGGGGACGGTCGGATCTTCATCTGTCTTCCTTCAATTCGTCTGAAGGCTAAAAGTTTCAGAATGTACCAAAGCCTGGCCCTGTCCTCCAACCAGTCCCCTTACCCCCATGACACCGGGAACTACATCCACCCCTCGGCCAGCTCTCCGGTGTACGTCCCCACCACCAGGGTCCCGGCCATGCTGCCCACCCTGCCCTACCTGCAGACCTGCGAGTCGACCCACCAGTCCCACGGCCTGGCCGGGCACCACGGCTGGGCCCAGAGCGCCGCGGACGGCTCCTCCTTCGCCCCCAGCAGCCCTCACCCTCCGCACGGCTTCTCCTACTCGCACAGCCCGCCGGTCAGCACCAACCCCGGGCGGGACGGCGGCTACCAGAGCCAATACGGAGGGGCGCTGGTGCGCTCCGTGGGGGGGTCCTACTCCAGCCCGTACGCTTACATGAGCCCGGAGATGGCCACGTCCTCCTGGACGCCGGGGCCCTTCGAGAGCGGGGTGATCAGTCTGCAGGGTCGGCAGGGAGCTCTGGGAGGACGGAGGTCCAGTCTGGGTGAGTGTCGAACCGAATCTGAGTCAAATTATGTTCTGGAAGTTTAAAGGAGTTACATCGAGTCTAGTTTGTAAAGATTTTAATTTCATTCTGTTTAACTCTGGGGGCGGGGGGGAGGGGGGGGTTATTGTTTTAGTTCGAATTTACCTTTGAACCTTGAATCCAACTTTTTTTTCCCCTCCATCTCAATGCTATACGAAGCTTCTGTTAACTACACGAGCGACTGTCTCTTTAAGAATGCTCTTATCAGGCCTCGCCGGGACCGGGTTATTTATTACAGGAGGTGATGGAGAGCCCTGCGGCTGTATAACGCTTGTGTAATGCGCTCCGAGATTCAATCAGAGTCCCAGAAACAGTCCCAATCAGAGCGCCTTCACTGAACAATGCCTCGTCAGGTCGAGTCAATCCACATTCTCCAAAGCAGATGCTCTCCTAGCGCAATCAATTAAAGTGTTAATTTAATCCCAGAACCTCAGGAGGTTGGTTCAATACACACCAGTAAACACTGAGCTGCAGTTCTCACCTTGGTCCGCCTCATGCCTCTCCACCTTGCAGGTATCGGAGCGAGCGAAGGGTGGGGATTTGGGGGGAGGGGTCCCCTTGAGTTCAATCTCATTTTCCTCTCTGGTTAATTAAAGAGCAGCTAAGGGCATGTTTATTCTGGGAACATTATCACCTCTCAGAATGAGATGGATATAATCCAAAAGATTAAAGTGGCAGAATGTTAAGATGCTGCAAATTGATTTCAAAATTTCAAACGCTGGGCAAAGTGGACTGGTTTGAGTTTCTCTTTCTGTGGTGATTCCTTTATATTGTAGGTTGATTATCTGTTTTATTATTATTATTATTATTATTATTATTATTATTATTATTTATTTATTTAGTGTTATTTATTTAACACTGTAATTTCATGAAGCACAGACACATGCAACTTAAAAATAAAACATGTTTCATTTTCAAGGAAGATAACCTGATACATTCCTTACAGTTTTCATACTGGTAGCTTAAACTATTAGAATCTCTCCAATCCAAAAAAGAGCTGGCAACTTTTTTATTTTTTTTATTTATTTATTTTTTGACAGAATTTATTTGATGCCGTTTGAGTTTGACTTATTGTTAAGATCGCTCTGCTCATGTGGTTTGTCCTCTGTGTTACAAAGAAACAACAGGAACACAAAAGGCTTTAGTCAGGATAAAGCAGTAAAACTGTCATTTTTAAATGTGTTCACAGTTACGATGTGCCGCTTTGGCTAAATCTGCAGATCAGCGTTACCTTCAGCAGGCCTGTAGCATCGCTTAAAGCCCTGTGCTGTGTTTCTGTTTGTTTGGAATGAATATCATTTTAGGGTTCATACTCTTATTCCTCTTGTTAAAAATGCATTTTAATTTCAATCTACACGTTTTTTATTGAGAGAAAAGCAGATATTTTAGTTAATAAAATGAAATGCTTGTTTCCTTGTAGTTTTACAGTCATAAAATAATTATGTGCCTGAAAATAGGCGTTCAGGGAAAAAAAAAATACTGACAAAAAATTGGTACATATGTTGTTTAAGTTATAAGAACTTTGGAAAAATTTAAGAGACCACTGCCCTGAACCCCACTGAGAACCACTTGGTTTTCCCACCACATATTGATTTCTGAACTCTCCCTGAGTTAAAACATTAGTTTTGTTGTTTCTAAATGAATATGAACTTGTTTTCTTTGCATTATTTGAGGTCTGAAAGCACTGCATCTTTTTTTTTATGTTAATAGTTTCTCATTCTCTGGAAATAGATACTACATTTTTGCCTGGGATATCTTAGACATGTTGTTATAGAATAAAAGAACAATGTTCATTTAACTCAAACATATGCCTATAAAAAAGTAAAATCAGTGAAAATGATCACTTTAAGGGGTTTCTTAATTTTTTTCCAGAGCTGTATACATATATTTTATGTTTCTGATCCAGCTTTTTTTTAAGAAAAAAAAGGTTTCTGTGGCCTCCGTTCTCAGTGTTCTTACAGGGAAGAGACAGAGACGATCCATGGCTGAGAATCGAACCGGGTCGGCTGCACTGAGCAGCACCAGTCACCGTCACACAGCCCTGTTATTTAAGGCCCAATACATTACGAAACAGTCAGTCGTCATTATGTTTTCCATGCTAATTGAAATGCGTTGATACTCAATCCTCAGCGCATGCGCATGATGCCTCCCTCTCAACAACTTAACTGTGAACCAACTCCATCAGTTAAAGGGACGAGTAGAGATTCGGCCCAGCCCGGACTTAAAGCCCGCTCTATCTGCGGCTCGGAGAAGGAATTTGGCCGGCTAGAGGCCGGAGCCCGTCCTCTGTCAGAGCCGTGATGGATGATGGGGGAATCCTGGATCCTCCTGATAACCTTCCCCCCATCGCCCCCCCTCCCCCCCACACACACACCTTCACCCCCATTCTTCTGTCTCTCCCGACTCACTGGTTGAGCAGTTTGATCTCCGCATCACGCGGAGCGGAGGAGAAAGAACGTGGGGTTACATTCCTCCGCGGGTTATTTATCACGTACTGGCCTGGAACCGGTGACCCTGTACCGTCCACGATCTTATTTGTTTTCAATGTCGAACTTAGATGGGAATATTGTGATTTTATAACTGATCCAATGAGCATCAGGGAGCACTTTTGTTATCTGACGGATGTCTCCTTTCTTCCGTCAGAGCTGATGGACGACATGCCTACAGAGGGCAGAGAATGCGTGAACTGCGGCTCCGTGTCCACGCCGCTGTGGCGCAGAGACGGCACCGGTCACTACCTGTGCAACGCCTGCGGACTCTACCACAAGATGAACGGCATCAACAGGCCGCTAATTAAGCCCCAGAAACGGCTGGTAAGACTGACAGAAGGAACCGGTCCTAAAGGGGTCATTAAAAAAATTTACACTGGGAAGAATATCAAGAAGTGAATACAATTATTATGTTGTTGTTGATGTTTCTGAAAATAAATACCACCTCAGAGGGGGTGCATATAAAGAGGTGTGTATATATATATATATATATATATATATATATATATATATATATATATATATATATATATATATATATATATATATATATATATATAT